AGCACAGGGATGGCAAGGGTCAGGCTGGCTGCTCCAGGGCAGCCGTGCTTGGGCGACCTGCAGACCTCCTGCCACGAGCAAGGAAAGCGTGGGCGGGCCCCGCCTGGATTTCTGCAGAGAACATCCTTGCTCTGTGTCCCAGAAGATGCCCACAGGCTCTCTGTCAGAAGCGAAGAGGCTCAGGCAGCTGCTCCTGGATAGCCTGGAAGGAACAATGCCCAGAAGGGGTCTCACTGCCGTACACCAGAGGAGAATGCACGCACACAGAGCTGCATCCTTCCAGCAGTGCTGCGTGACAGGGAAAGACCCAACAGGCACAGAGCTAAGGCTCTGAACCCAGGGAAGCCTGTGAGGGTTGTTGAGCACCAGCACAGGCTGCCCAGGAAGGCTGTGGAGTCTCTGCCCTTGGAGGCATTAAACAAATGGTGGCAGGGTGTTCCTAGGCGATCAGGAGGCTTGGACTGGATGCCCTCCAGAGATCCCCTCCAGCCTCAGCCAGACTGTGTTGTTGTGGAGGCGTCCTAAGCTTGCCTGGAAACCAAGAAGTGTCTTTGTGCTTTGAAATTTCACAGGATTCTAGCCTGTGAAACTAACCAGGAATTACTTCAAAGTCAAACTTGGTCACACCTGAGGGAAGCTTCTCCTTGGGTTCAGCTTCCTCTCAGCCCTGTTAAATCCTGCCCGGGTGGCTGGAAGCAGTGTGGTGGTGAGGAGGTAGTTCGGTGTGTCGTTCCTCCATTGGCTGCACCGACAGGAGATCACAAAGCACGGCCAGGGACCCTTCGGTGCTGCCTCTGTCCGGAGCACCCACCCGCGCCAGGGCGATCCCCGGAGGTGCTGCGGGCTGGGGGCAGACAGGGGACCGGGCCGGGGGTCAGGAGGTGTGGGGTGACAGGGTGTGTGGGGCTGTGAGCTGTGGGATGATGTGAGAGGACGGGGGGTGCAGGTGTGAGGGTGTGGGGAGTGACAGGAGGAGTGAGGGGTGGGCAAGAGCAGGGTGGTGTGGGGTGTATAGGGTCTGACAGGGCTGAGGGGCGTGTGGGGTCTGAGGGGTGTGAGGGGTGGTGTGGGGTGTATGGGGTCTGAGGGATGTGAGGGGTGTGTGGGGTCTGACAGATCTTAGGGGTGTATGGGGTCTGACAGGTCTGAGGGGTGTGTGCGGTCTGAGGGGTGTGTGGGGTCTGAGGGGTCTGAGGGGTGTGTGGGGTCTGAGGGGTGTGAGGGGTGTGTGGGGTCTGACAGATCTGAGGGGTGTGTGGGGGATGAGGAAGGTGAGGGATGTGAGTGGTGTGTGGGGTGTGAAGGATATTTGACATGGGAGAGGTTTCAAGGCGTCTGAGGGGTGTGTGGGGTGTGAGGGGTGTGAGGGGTATCTGGGGTGTCCGGGGTGTTCAGGTGTGGATGTGGGGGGGCTGAGGGGCAGCAGGTGCGGGCAGCCGTGGGGCGCTGAGGGTGTGAGGGGGCACAGCCGGGTGTGAGGGGCTGTGGGGCCGGCTCTGGGGCTGGGGCACAGCCGGGTGTGAGGGGCTGTGGGTCCGGTTCTGGGGCTGGGGCACAGCCGGGTGTGAGGGGCTGTGGGTCCGGTTCTGGGGCTGGGGCACAGCCGGGTGTGAGGGGCTGTGGGTCCGGCTCTGGGGCTGGGGCACAGCCGGGTGTGAGGGGCTGTGGGTCCGGTTCTGGGGCTGGGGCACAGCCGGGTGTGAGGGGCTGTGGGTCCGGTTCTGGGGCTGGGGCACAGCCGGGTGTGAGGGGCTGTGGGTCCGGCTCTGGGGCTGGGGCACAGCCGGGTGTGAGGGGCTGTGGGGCCGGCTCTGGGGCTGGGCAGCGGCCGTGGGGCACAGGGCGGGCCCGCGGGGGTGGGCCCGGGGGTGGGGGCTGCGCGGGGCAGCGGCTGTGGAGGGGCAGCGCAGCCCCGCCGAGGCCGAGGGCGGTGCCGGGGGCGGTGCTCGGTGTCCCGGCGCTGCCGAGTGTCCCGGTGTCGCTGGCGCCGCCGGGAGCGCCAGGAGCGGCGGCTCCGTCCCGTCCGCCCGCCCGCAGCAGAGCCGAGCGCGCAGGGAACGGCGCTGCCGCCTCGCCGCCGACAGCGCGGTAAAGTATTTAAACTAATTCTCGCAGCCTTCTTCTCGTGCTCGTGGTGTCTGCGTGTTGCTGCTGTGTGTGCTTGTCTCTGCCGAGAAGTTTGCGGTCCCTGCTCTTTCCCGGCTCCGCTCGGGGAGCCCTTTAGAGCCGTCGGGTTGCGAGTTGCGGTGGAAACTTTGGGGTGGTGGTGGTGGAGGAGTTTTGGCAGCGTTGGAATGGGAATTTTTGTAAGTCAAAAGTAACTCGTACGTGGTAAATTTAAAGTAGCAAAACAAGTTTTTGCTGCCCTGACTGAATTTGCCAGGTTTAATGTGTATATGAAGAATCATAAAAATACCGAAGTCCTCATGGTCTTTGAGTGTGAAAGCTTTTTTCCGAGATGAGAATCAATGACAATTTCACTGGAATGATTCTAGACTCTCTAAACACAACTGTGAGAGCTTGTTTAACAGTAAGGGTGCTGAGGCTCGGAGGGCAGTGAGGGAAATCTGGCTCTCACATTAGACAGGTGAGGAATAGTTTGCAAGGACTCCTTCATTCCTATCACGCATTCATGACACTGTTGCCTTCATTTGTTTATTTGTTATAACGTCGATGGGCTCTTTCCCTCAGTGCTGTGATTAGACTATTAGATTCAGAACCAGGTTTTCATACTATGAGGTGCCTGGTGCTATTTTGTCTCAGAGTACTTTCCAGGACAATATTGCTGTTTGAAAACAAAGCTAAGCCCTTTCTAAACAGCACAGTGCAGAAATATTATTTGCACAAGAATAAGAGGAATTTGTGGGTGATTTGACAGACCAGCTCATGATTCAGTGTTACACACTGAGTTCCCTAAGTTCCTCATTCCTCAAACTGCTTTAAAGCTTGAAGCTGCTTTCAAAGTTTACCTCCACAGGTGAGAGGCACCTGTGTCAGTCCGGATAGCTCAGGAACTCATGGAGTGCCTCTGACATGGCAGTTAATTAAATTTAGGAATGCTGTATAGTCCCAATCTGCAATGAATTATCCAATGAATTACTATTTTAGGGAATCTGCTTGGCCGGCGATCTTTCACTTCCAAAAAGCCAGCTGTGGGGCTTTTGGAGCAGGTTGTAGCCAGTCCAGGTGTGATATGATTAACAGATGAAACTGTGGCTGTCACCCAGCCCTCGGGAGTGTGTTCTGCATTGTGTTGTTCCAGTTGTGAACCTGTAACACTTTCTTGTGATGGTAGAGTATCTGATTCTGAAGAATTTGTGTGTTTCTCTTCCCCATTTCATGAATCTTCTCTTCACTTTTCTCTGCACAGAAACATCTCAGGCTTTCTTCAGGCAAGCTCATACCTGCCAACCCCATTTACTCTAACTTTCCAACTTCAGCTATTGTCTTAGGTCAGCCTTCCCCGCCTCAGACCTGGTGAAGTCGGCAGAAACAGCGAATTTCAGCAACAGGAGGGGTTAGAGGAGATGCCACAGAAGCAGCCTCACCTTCAGCCCTGACCTGCTGCACCACTTCAGGTAGCATTATTCTCTCTCCATGCCTGTTTAATATTTAATGTTCTTTTGGCCATACAAGGGATTTCTACAGATGGAAAGGCTTATGTAATAAAAGCTATATGTGGTCACTTAAGTAAAGTAAGCAGTTAAGTATCAGAGGAGCTTTAGATAAATAGGAAAGAAATGTAAAATCACCAACAACTTCCAGGTAGGTCAAAACCTAGGGGAGAACACAACCAGAATTCCAACATGTGTGTTATCTACCAGGTATTTCTCTGCAGTTTCCTTCTGGAAATCTAAAAGCACAAATTGATTTGATACATTTATAAAAGACTTTACAATAATCATGAATACATTACTTGTCAAAAGCACACATGAAAATCATAATAATGATTTGCACTTCAATGAAAGCTGAAATAGACAGTACTGAGTCCTGTACTTTTATTATAATGGAGTGAATCCCTAAAGTAATTTTGATGCAATTACCTTTTAAAAATGTTTTATCAAGATAGAGGGATGAAAAAAACAAGCCACCAGTCAAAGTCAGATTTCCTCCCCGGATTTCCAGGGAGTAAATGTGACTCTTATTTTTTTAGCTTGTTGGACTTTTGGAACAAAGTATATTGAGATCATCCTTCGATTTTGGCATTCACAGTAAAGCTGAATTAAATTACTGCTTTTCAGTAAATCACCATTACTAGTGTTTTCAGTGGTGAATAAAAGTATTAATTAATTGCCTTTACAGTTAAACCAGTTAAACATTTTTGTTTCTCTAGAAAGACATTTTAAATAAATTCATGTAATAATTTAATGCATATCTAATCTTGTATTGGAGTAATATTGCTCTGCCAATTATTAAAGACTGATCTTTTTTTTTCTCTCTAAAGGTTTTTCCTAGACACAGGTAAACAAGCACATACAAGACAAAGAAGTTTAGGTTGCACGTCTGGAGGTATACATTCTTATATGACTGTATATTGTTATTTACGAATGTATATTGCTATGTATGTTATTTATGCTTAATGTTATTTAAACTCTTAATTTTTTGTGTGAAACCTCCTGATTCTCTTTGATGTTGTCAAATGTTTCTTTTGTTGTAGAGCTGATACTGTCTACTCAGGCAGAGGACTGTGTAAAGGACAGTCAAAAAGTAAGAAGGTGACAGTCATGCTTTAATCTTATATAAGCGCTGTAATTATATTGAAGGGTTTTTTTAGTTTTCAACACATTTGTTGTAAGTCTAAAGGGTGGGAAAACCTTTCTTCTTTTCTTCCCTTCATATTTTTTTCACAAAATAGGAGGGCGTTTCCAGGCGCAATTAGCGCAGTTAAACCCTCTGTTATTTTCTCCCCATTTCCTCCTCCTTCCCCGGGACCGTGTGCTTTCTGAGGCAGCCCAGCGAGGCCGCGAGGGCAGGGCAGGTGCCGAGGGCAGGGCAGGGCCATGGAGGCAGCGGACGTGCCGCCCGAGGGCTACTCGCTGATCAAGGCCGTGTACCAGCGGCGGCTGCGGCTGACGCGGCTGCTCATCGACGGCGGCGCCTACGTCAACGAGAGCAACAGCCGCGGCGAGACCCCGCTCATGGTGGCCTGCATGACCCCGCACGCCGACCTGCAGAGCGCCAGCAAGGCCAGGATGGTCAAGTACCTGCTGGACAACAAGGCTGACCCCAACATCCAGGACAAGTCGGGCAAGACGGCGCTGATGCACGCCTGCCTGGAGAAGGCAGGCCCCGAGGTGGTGTCGCTGCTGCTGCTGAGCGGCGCTGACCCCAGCCTGCCGGACCACTCCAACTGCTCCGCGCTGGTGTACGCCATCAACGCCGCCGACAGAGACACCCTGGAGCTGCTGCTGAAGGCCTGCAAGGCGCGAGGCAAAGAGGTCATCATCATCACCACCGACAAGTCCGCCTCGGGCAGGCAGAAGACAAAGCAGTACCTGAACGTGCCTCCTCCAGACCTCGAGGAATGTGCTTCTCCAGCCGACTGCACCTCCCCGTCAGAGATAGAACCAGATGAGGGTCCAGAAGACCCATTCAGCTTTAAAGAGCTGTATGGCGGGCAGCAGGGGGACAGCTCCTCTGAAAGAGTGCCACTGATGACCAAATCCAGCTCCGCACCAGCGCGGTTCAAGCTGACACAGGTGCTGCAGTGTGATCCGTGGCTAAAGTGCTGCCCAGCAGTGTTCCAGCAGAGGAAACTTGCTTCTCCACAAGAACTCCAGAGTATCAGTCCCATGGAAGAGCTCTCCTGTAAAGTCGGTGGCCTTGACTTATGCAAGAGTGTCGCCTCCAGCCATGAAAGTAGAGACAGGAAGGACACTGCTCAGGTGCTGAGAACCTCTGATGAAACCATGTCAAGGAAAGCACTACGTGATGCAATAAACTATCAGCCTCCTTTTGTTGAAGAGAAACACAACCCCAGCGAGATTCCCATGGGCATGGATGCCAGTTTGGGACAAATCAGCTTACTTTCAAACCTTGGCAGTATCATCAAGAAAGGAAGTGGAGAAGCAAATTATAACATCTCCGGTTCTCAGTTAACCAACAGTCTAATTCCTGCAGCTGATACCAAAGGTGGTAAGTCACCAAAAGGAAATAGAGAGATTCTTCCTACGTACCAGACTTTGTTACGAAGTCCCAGAAGAGGTCTAGAGATGCCTCCTCTTTCCCCAAGAGGCAGAAATCAGGCTCCTCTAGAGGAAGAGGCCTCAGGAGCCTCAGTGCTGGATCAGACGAGGCCAGGTTTTCTGCCTCCACTGAACGCGAGCCCCCGCCCCCCGGTCCCAGAGCTCACCGTCATAAACACAGTGTCTGGAATGATTTCCTATGGACAAACTCACTTAGCCCCCCCAGGATCTGCTTTCCCTAAGGGCACCAAAGAGACGAATCTGATGCGGAGGAGGCCCTATGAGCAGATCACAGTCTGACCAGATTCAGCAGTCTCTGAATCTTTAACAGGAGAGCAAAGGGGATCTTAATGATATGTAAATATTCACTGCAGTCCTTAACTGTAATGGTATGTATCACAAAATAGAGCAGGTCTGTGATGTAAAGTAATGTCTGCCTCAGGATTAGTGGTACGGCCCAGAAACTAAATGAAAAGACATCTAATGAGGCTGTCCTCTGCAATCTAAGCAGTGTTTATTCTGCTGGTTTTGTAAAGTTTTCAGCTTGTCTGTGACAGACAACCCACAGCAGTCCTTAAGTGTTGCAGTTCTCATTGCAGGTTGTAAATGCTACCCCTCCAGGCTTTCCCCAAGCACACGCCCTTGCAGCGCCCAGACAGGCGCTGCGCACGGAGTCTGGGCCCCCGGAGCGTTTGACGGCGCTGCCGGACCCGGACTGCCCGTGTCCAGGTTGTACATACGCACGCAGCCCCCCGAGACAGCGGCGTGCCGCGGGCGGGTGGCGGCGGGCGCGCCGTGTCTCCCGGCCGCGGCAGCCTCGCAGAACGTCGCGGCTGGTGACACGGGTGCCGCAGGGCAGGCGGCGCGCCCCGGAGCCCGGCTGGCCCCGGAGCTCTGCCCCCCGGGCTCTGCAGCGCTGCCGGGAGCCAGCAGGGCGAGTGACCGCCCTGCCCGGGGTGCGCCACAAGCCAGCCCCGCTCAGGCTGTGCCGGGCACCGCGGCCGCGGCCTCTGGAAGCCGCTCCAGAGGGATTTCTTTTATTCAGGAAAGCGAGAAAAAGCGCTTTTATTTGGGAGAAGCGAGGGTGCCGGGGGCAGAGCCTGCACCTGGAACAGGCTCTGTAGCCTCCTGCAGTTGTGGAGCCCCCAAAAGGAGACCTGCCCGGCAGGCTGGGGCCATGTGCCCCGGTGACAGCGCTCCTCAGCGGGACACACCCGGAGTGTCTGCACGGGCAGGGGCACTGCGCACGCACACACTCTGGGAGCAGGGAGGAGCTCTGTCCTCCTGCTCAGACAGACCCAAAACAGAAAACCCAACAGCTCCAGGGACGGTGAGGTCCTGGCACAGCTTCCCCAGAGAAGCTGTGGCTGCCCATCCCTGGGAGTGTTCCAGGGGCTTGGAGCCACCTGGTCTAGTGGAAGGTGTCCCTGCCATGGCAGGGGCCTTGCGGTGAGATGGGCTTTTATTTCAGATGGTTTCCAACCCAAAACACTCTGTGATCCTGTGAGTCTAATTATCAAACTCACCTGGGAGATGGAAACCCACATTCTGCCTAATTTGAAACAGAGGGCTGAATTTCCCACAAGTGGAAAGCAGTCCTCTGCAGCCTCCGAGCTACTGTGTATTTTTAAGTATCTCTATCTAAAAATCTTTCTTTCCTTTAGTGTCTTGTGGTTCCAAGTATCTCCCTTGTCTTTGTGTGCATCCCATAGATGCTGGGATTCTGGTATTGCGTTTAGATCTCATCTTCTAAATTTTGAGAAAAAGTGGATGTGTTCTGTTTTGTTGTAATTTACAGAAATTAGTTGTGTTGAAATTGTGTCTGTGTAATGTGAAATTCAATATATGGAAATTAGATATTTATTTCCTGAAAATACTCAGTGGGTATGTTGCAGCTTCAGTCAAAGTTCACCAAATCTGACATTGCATAAAAGAAGCCTGTAATGTTATTTAGCTTTGCACTTAGTAGGAGACAATGTAACGGGGATCTTAACCAAAAAACAGTGGTAAGGGGATCTTAAACACAAACCAATTCAAGGAGGATCGGAGACATACAACAATTAGAAGGGGATCACAAACACACAAATATTTAATGGGGATCATCACCATGAAACAATTCAATGGGGATTCTAAACATTAAACCATTTAAAGGGGATTATAACATATACTCTCTGTAAATTACTTTTTGGGAGTATTTGTTTCCATTCAGGTTCTGCCTTTTCCTTGAGGAAATTTTCCTGGATCAGGCCCTCTGTACACCAGGTACAAAAAAGGATTATGTGGACATATTTTTAAGATACAGAAATTATATGGAACAACATATGTCAGTATTAACTGAGTACAAATTAGTCCCTACACTGATTACACTTTCCTAATGTTTTTATGATAATACCAAAGGAAATGCCAAGTTCTCAACTGTCCATCTCATGGTGAAGTTAAATATTTGAAAGGGAAAATAGATCTTTAAAAAATAAAAATTATTTCTTAGAAGAAATTGCCTATCACCAGGTATGCCAACCGGTAGCTTTGATAAGGGTATAAAGCCCAATTTCTGCTGTTTTGATTTTAAAATTAATTATGTATATGGGACTATGGCTCCCTTAAATAAAACCATAATTTTTCTATTAAATGCTCAGACAATGGAGGGAAGTGGCAAGTGTCTTGAAAAGGGAAGTTTTTTGGTAGTATTACCAGTATTGTGTGATTAATTGTGATGCAAAGTAGTGTCAAGTGTTGATATTATTGTTTGTGTTACTGTTACAAGTGACCTTCAAAAGAAAAAGCTTTGTTCTCTTGCTGTTGTTATGCTGAATAAATAAAAGTTATTTTTCCCCCTCAGAGGGAACATGGAAATAAGCACATGCTTTTATTCACTACTCAGGAAATGATGAGTCATTGCAAAAGGTACTCATTCAGAAGTGTTTCTCAGGCTCCCTCTGTACAAGAAAATGGGAACAGTTACTTCGATTTAATCCAATACTGCTAAATTTGTCCAGAGCGCGGTGCGAGAGAGGCTCTCTCCAGCTGCCGGAAGCTTCCTGCGGCTCCACTTGCGGAGCAGAGATGCGCTCGTGTTGTCTTTGAAGCCCCAGTCCATGACATTTCCCAGCCACGCCGATGTTCTTTTCGGCCAGCACGGTCAGCCCGACCCGAGAGCCTGATGTTAGAGCCTGGCTGACAAACAAGCCAAACGAGCCTTTCGGTGTCCTTGGCTGCCCCGGCGCTGGCGCTGCGGCCCCGCAGGTGCTGCGGTGACACGGCGGTGACACGGCGCTGGCACCGCCCTGAGCGACAGCCGCACACCCCGGGGCACGCAGCGCTTCAAACCCACCCGCCGCCCTGGGAAAGGGGGAAACTGTTCGGGTTCCTCCCTTCTCGCCTTCGCGTTCTCTGCAGAAAATGCTGTGGAACCATACCATCAAAGTAACTTCAAAACAAACAGTGGAGGCTTCACAAAAAGCAGTGATTATATAAGAACTCCCATTATTTTGGTTTAAGAGATTTGAGAGCAGCAAGTCACTACACAAAAATGTTGTCAAGTAGCAGTTTTCAAGGTTGTGTTTAAGGTGCAATGTTCAAAATATAGGCTTCAAAATATCTTTCCCTGCACATTTAATTTGGTTTTGCTTTTAAGGAGTAATTGTTCTGTTGTGATCTTTGTCTTTTACAACTACACAGCACTTCCAAAAGAATATTGCCATAATTTGATGCAGCTATACCAGAAAAACAGTAAATTAACTAGACACTAAACTCTCTTTTTTCTCCTCATCAATCCCATGTAATCTCTCTGCATGCCATATACAGCAGAACTAACTACTTTCCCAACTAAAGCAAGGGATTTACAAATTTTCTTACATTTTCACTGTAAAGTACTACTGCCACTGCACTAACTTCAAGGAAATCAGGTTTCATAATGAAAGACCTTAAGAAAGCTTGGGAGGGGGTTTCAGTGTCAAAAGGATAAAATTCCAGTTGTCATCACTAAATATTCCCATAAAACACCCAGCTGTCAACCCTCTTGGAAAGACAATGCTTCTTTTACTCCTGCACACAAGTTGACCTTTTTTTGTGAAAAAGCTTCCCAACATACAGATATATATACACACATATTTATGTATATGTATAAATATGCAAAATTCCTGTTTCTCAGCAGCACCTGTTACCTGAGCCAGGCATCTCCTGGCCTGATGACGCAGGCAGCTGCAGAGCTCCTGTTAGTCCAGGCGTTTTGTCCCAAAAATTATGTCCAGCTAGTTAAAAATCATGCTGGGATCTTATGCTGAACATCAGAGATATTTTCTAGAAACGTACACGAGGCTATTTATTCTCAAGTTCCTGAAACCCAGACACAGAGGCACGCCGAGGAACTGCAGTAAATTCCAGCATTTTTCCCCGAAAGCATCAGCAATTTTGAACACTTTCATGCGAGTTTCACAGGCAGAGTGAGTTACAGCCTGCCTTCTCTCAAAAACGTCTTGGTTTTTAAAAATAAACCTGACCTGTACATATATTTTAAAACCACATTAATGTCTCCCTGCCAGCCCCACAGCAACACATTTTATTCTAGGAGAGCATTTGAATAAACACAGAGAAACAAAATCAAATTAATTTATTGATGTGCAAGTCAGACTAGACTGACATAAACAACTTCACAGGGGACTAGCAAAGATACATAGGTAAAATTACTTACAGAAATTCATATACATAGAATAATCCATACAGAATAATCAAATTCACCACATAGCCATTTCCTGGTAATCCAGATGATGTCTTCTTTAATTTTATCTGATTATCCTGTTTACTGACATCCACAGGTATTGCTCAGATATACTTCTTCTTTAAAAATACTTCTGGCAGTCGCTGGTGCTTTTTACTTAATAGTTTAATGAGTTGTAAGAAATCCCAGTACTTCAGGTGGGAACTGGTCAGTGGCAGGATTTCTAAGCAGCAGAAGAATGTGTGCCTGTGGTCCCTAAGAGGCCTGCCACTGAGAGATGGAATCCTGCAAATCAATGAATGCAACTGCCTGCAACAAACCGCAACTGAAGAATGAATCGCTTCTCCAAACTCGCTGTAGAAATCACACAGCCAAGCCTGACCCTTTGGTGGTTACTGCCACTCACCTTATGGGTGATTAAATTACATCAAGTACTCTGTTTAGTTATCTCAAGTATAATCAGGTGGTTTTCTTCCTTATGTGGAACAATCTTTTCCTAAGTTTTGGTCAAGCACAACTTAGTAGGTGACCAAAATGAAGAAAGCTCTACCCCTCAATAAGAGAAAACCACTATTAGATAAATCTCTCAAAGGAGTAGTCGGTTACAAAAGGGAGTCTTGAATTTTAGTGCGAGATCATGATAATTCAAAATGTAAGATTAAGAAATGTAACTAACTTTCCTATCACAGCTGTACCAATGCCATGTAAGAGCAGTAAAAATGACTGTAATTTACTTCAGTACTAACAGCCTGTAAAATGTCGTGTACAGTATCTGTCAGGCTAACAGATGAGTTAAGAAAATTCGCACAGGAGCCATGTGAGGGGAACAGGAAAAGGAGGACAAGAAGTTGAAGGAGTAATGCTTCTCAGGGCATTAGCTGTTACTCAGAAGCTAAGATGTCCTCTGTGATTGTGGAAGAAACCTTTGGTATTTCTGCTATCGTTTATGGTGTTTGGCAGAAGCCTGCTTTGCATCTACTATTCTATTCCAATGGCTTTTTTGAATTCAGAATTTTGTGGCTCAAAAATGTCATAATAAACCCTACTTTTATCAAAATTTTGTCGGATGAGAAGCAAGTCTTCTACAGAATACACATCCTCCTTTCCTGTCCAAACAGTGAGGCTGTACCTATGTCCAGAAACAGGGAGAAAACAAACAAAACAGAGAGAAAAAGAGTATGTTAAGATAAAGCATGTACACCAGAAAGACACTGCAGTAATAGGCTCCTAAAAATACTCAGGATTACAGCATCATAACTTTAGCAATGTAATTAAATACAAACAACTGCACCCCCAGACAATTTATCTGTGATTGTTCTGCCAAACCTCAGAGGGATTTAAATAAAAAACCTCAGGTAAATATCCAGCAACAAAACTGAACATTTAAGGTTTGATAAATTAATCAATAGTCACAAGCTGAGCCTCAAAACAGGAAATACGATGCAATCCCAGATGCAGGTGATTGTTGTGCTTTGTCACATCAGCAATGTGTAGAGATACCACCCAACCCAATTCTCAGTAACTGCACAGAACTTCTCAAAAAACACTGAAATCCCCCAAAGCATTATTCAGTTAAAGCATCATTTCCACATCCTCCACATGACATATACTTCGTTTTTCCCTTTTGTTTAATAAAACTGTATTAATTTTAAAGATGTATAAATGAATAATCAGTTGTATGTGAGCAAAACTGGCTCAGGAATTTCTGTCTTCTAATCATGCCACTGAAGAACCCCCTGAGTTTTATGAGTAGGTAAAAGAGAAAATCCCAGTATTTCACTTGGAAAAATGTTTGTATCCAATGATATTTGAGACCAACACAATTCATAAGATACATTCTTAGTGCAATAACTTTTTAAAATCAATTTCCCAGTTTTAACAGCTTAATTCTAATTTCTGTCTGGAGTCTTCAGCATAAAAAAGAGTATCAGCACTTAATATGTCCACCCTGTTTTTTCTGAATAATTAGAAATTTTTTGGACATTCCATTAAGTTTTCTGTCTTGGGCTTTGACCTTAGTTGGAACAGTTTTATAAAACTCTGGGTAGGCAGAGCAGTTGAAAAATATGAGTAAATGGCAATATGTGGGAAGCTGGTTTTATTCTCATTGTATTACATGTGAATAATTTTTATAATGAAATGCTTAGGGATTGGTAGGAATGATTTTGAAAGGAAAATGTAATTCCTGTATGAAAACCACTGAATAAATTTCAAGTGCCTCACCAAAATTAATTAGCTTGGAGGGAAACACCTGACTTCCAATCTAGAAATCATCTTTGACCTTTCTCAAAAATGCTACAAAAAATATAAATAGCGAATCCAATGCAAAGTGTTTGGATTGGATGAATTCCCAATTGCAACATCAAACTATTTAGTCTGTTTAACTATATTTATCTCAGGAGATGTTTGTAGCAGAATGGGGTTCCACACCTACGCACCATTTAAAAGTCCTCATGGTAGGTAATAAAAAATAAGCTTCTGGAATTTAACTACTTTAGAGAAATTAATAGTGACCACTTCTGTCTGAGGACTCAAACGCTTTGAGGCCGGTGGGAAATGAAGCACTGGGAGAAGAAGAATTCCCACATTCCCAACGCCGCTGGGCCGTGTGTGACACGGGGCTGGTGAGGACAGGCCGGGGCGCAGGGGCTGGAGCTGAGGGGTGCAGGGGGAGCAGCACTGACCTGCGGCACTGCTGCAGCAGCCACTGCAGCTGCGGGATGGAGCCGGGCACCAGCGCAGCCCTGACCGCGAACGTCACCGGCTGGGACAGCGCCCGGCACAGGCGCCACATCTCCTGCACCACGGGCCACTCGTAGCCTGGGGACACACAGCGAGGGCACTGAGAGCTCACCCTGACCCTGGGGACACACAGGACACTCACAGAGCTGGGGACACACAGGGCACTCAGAGCCTGGGGACACACAGGGCACTCACAGAGCTGGGGACACACAGGACACTCAGAACCCTGGGGACACACAGGGCACTCAGAGCCCTGGGGACACACAGGACACTCACAGAGCTGGGGACACACAGGGCACTCAGAGCCTGGGGACACACAGGGCACTCACAGAGCTGGGGACACACAGGACACTCAGAACCCTGGGGACACACAGGGCACTCACAGAGCCTGGGGACACACAGGGCACTCACAGAGCCTGGGGACACACAGGACACTCAGAACCCTGGGGACACACAGGGCACTCAGAGCCTTGGGGACACACAGGGCACTCACAGAGCCCTGGGGACACACAGGGCACTCAGAGCCCTGGGGACACACAGGGCACTCAGAGCCCTGGGGACACACAGGACACTCACAGAGCTGGGGACACACAGGGCACTCACAGAGCTGGGGACACACAGAGGGCACTCACAGAGCCTGGGGACACACAGGGCACTCACAGAGCTGGGGACACACAGAGGGCACTCACACAGCCTGGGGACACAGAGGGCACTCACAGAGCCTGGGGACACACAGGGCACTCAGAACCCTGGGGACACAGAGGGCACTCACAGAGCCTGGGGACACACACAGCCCCGGGTCCCCGGGGTCCCTTGGAGACACAAAACCTGCACATCCAGCGTCCCTGAGAACCACACAATTCCACCCTGTAACTGCTGCATGGCTCTGGGCAGCAAATGTCCCAGAGGAAAAATGCAATAAATGCAATACCCACGTGGAAAACGAACTTACTATGCAAACCTTTATTTCCCATACTTTACATACACGCTTACCTACTTTACACACAGCTACAGAACGTGGCGTTTTTAATGTATCTTTGCCCTTTCTCTAAATAACTCTGCTGCCACTGACTTCAATATGGCCTACTTTAACATTGTCAGGGACCCTTTAAAAATAAAAACATCAAGAAAAAATTAGGACAAAAACTGAAGTTAATCCACTAGGAATGAAGATGTACAGAAATCAACACACATGTAGAAACATATTCTGTGCCTAAAAATGGTACAATCAAGCAATCTAAAATACTGAAAATGCCTTTGCTGGGGTTTCTATAAAGACTGGAGCTATTTCAATTTATATTTAGCTATTCTTTTGTTTCTACAGGCTATGAAAATCCTGTAACAAGTTAATAACTTTTTCCTTGATTACTCAGATGGAATGTAGTGACTAGAAAGAGTAAAAACACACCAAATATTAAAAAAAGTTTTCTGGGGCAAGCAGCAACTTCTAGGTGAAATCACTCAAATGAGCTGGTTTTCTTAAGTTTTATAGTAGAACCTCACTTAGTATTTCCATAAACTGAAATTTGGACTGGAGATAAAATGAAATTTGTTTTCACAGGTTGCCCAGTATTTCCAATGCATTTTTCAGCAATTTTTTCCTGCACTGAAAATACCTGGGAGAAAGCAGTGAACATTTTAACAATACTGCAGTATATCATACAACAAAATACTAAATCTTGCTAATGAGTAAGTAGCAATGGGGGTAGTGTATAATCCTGACACGGTGACCCCAGATAATACTGGAGGGGACTCTGCTTCTCATAATGAGAATTGCAAGAGGAAGCCTGTAAAAAAGACCCTATATTAATGAAAATTGGAAAGTTTACTTCAAAAATTCAACTTTCCAAGAGAAATGAAATATTAGGGATAAGGCTGACCCACAATTTGACTTCAGTGATCAAAAAAAAAGCAGAGATAAAGTTCCACATTTTCAGCTGATCTGTTTTTCCTCAGGACGCATGCCAGGGCTCTGACCACCAGATCAATGCTCCCAGGATTCAGGGACAGCCCTCCCTGAAACAGAGGCTAAGGAGCTTGTCCCTCAGAAGGGCTCAGCAGGTGAGAAGGAGCTGAAGCACCAACCAGCTTATTTCAGGAACAAAAAGATGTGGATTTCAGCCATCTGTGCCGCCACTGCAGCACTGCACTGACCGCCGCACCGCGCTCCGTCCCACAGCGCAGCACGGGACAGGGTCCCACAAGCGCTGCGGTTCCCAGCCCGGGCACGGCCCGGGGCTGCTGCCAGCTGCAGCACAGCGAGCACAGGAGCCCTGCCCTTACCTTGGCCTCGGCGGCAGCCCGTGGTCCAGCCCAGGGACAGGGTGGCATCGGGGCAGGAGGAGGTGACGGCGCCCAGGAAGGCGCGGGCGTCCAGCGGCGCGCGGCTCCCGCGGGGCCCCGGCAGGATGTCCCCGTTCAGCCACACGGGTCTGTCCAGGCGCTGCCCCAGCTGCCCCAGCAGCTCCAGCGAGGGTCCCACGGCGGCCAGGCTGTGCAGGACACAGGGCAGGGTCGGGGTGGCGGTGTCACCGCGGTGCCACCGCGCCGGGCAGGGCGCGGTGCCAGCACCCGCTGCCATCCCTGCCTGCCCCTGCAGGAGCAAAAGCCCCGAGTGCCAGCCCTGCTCCCAGCACCTCCTGCCTCACCTCGACCCCCCCGACCTTGTCACCTCTTCCTCTCAGGCCTGAGAAGGGTTTTAACCAAGGAAGCCACTGCAGTCTCTAAGGCCTGTGCTGCATCAGCCACAAATGCTGTAAATCCAGCCCAAAGAGTGAAAGCCATCTCTCCCCACCTTAACCACGCTCAAAGCGGCAAAGATTTCATCACTAGGCAGATCCAGACTCAAAGCTGCCTTCAGATCCATGCAAGGTGATGCACCTGTACTAGGAGAATTGAAAGCACAACGCAGACAAATTTAAGGCAATTAAAATGGAGAAAAGGCACCCACTTGAACATTTAATGCCTGGTTGTGGTTTGTCCCACAGCTCCTAAGTGGCTGCACACAGAGGCCTGCCTGTCCAGTGATCATCTGACAGATAATTACTGAATGGTTCAATATGAGCTGGCATCACTTAAGGAAAGGGTGCAGACACCCTGTGAGCATTTAACAAAACCTATGCTCACATATTCCTACTGTCCTGTGCAGCCCCAAGAAAAAGCACAGCTAGCTTCTTCCTACCTCCAGCCTACCAAAACTTTCAAAGCACCATGGAAGGAAAGAAGATGGGGAACAGTGGGGAAAAGAAATGAACACCAAGAAAAATCTTCTTTCTGTCACAGCCCATTAATTAATGCACTGTGTAACATCGAGGTATTTAAAATCACTATGGTCAGAGTTTTGTAATTAGGTTAGTTCAGTCCCCTGAGCTGCTTGCCTTGTCTTTCCTCTGTAAAGTCACTTTGTGTATTTTGCCTTTTGTGGTGTTGGGAAGGCTGCACAGGGGCAGGAGTTCCACTCACTGGGACGAGCTCAGGCTCTCCAGGAGAAAAGCCAGTGATGGTGTTAAGGTGTGGGCTGCAGCATTTCTCACTCAGTCTGGGGCCACAACAGCTGATATCCTCACACATGCAAGGGACTGTCAGGGCCACAGGAATGCCTCCCTAGTACTGCAAAGTGTAAGGTAATGCAGTGAGAAAAAAGCACAAAGCAAAATGGCAACACAGGGAAAAAAAAAAAAAAAAAGAGAAGAAAAAACCAAATCAAAACAACAACAACAAAAAAATCCACTCCCAAAAAAACCATGAACCCCAGAGCACTGGTTTTGTTGGACAGCATTTAGGAAACTCAGACTTACAGCTGACTTCCTGTGAAATAACTTTGGCATTTCTGAGGCGGGACACTGAAAACCTTTTGCAGAATACATTAATTTCAGTAGCCAAAGGAAATGCAATTATGTGGTCAGTCAGGCTGATAGAGCAGAGATATAAAAAAAGTACATTTTTAAAGCACCATTGAAATAATCTCCAAAACTTCAGCATTGGCATCCAATTAACTATTATGCAAAGGAACATCAAATTCTACTATCACTAATTTGACTCTATCTGCACTGTGTGATGTACTTCTAAATGTTTTTATACAATAATTCTTTTATAATGCCATGTACTTTTAAAAGTTTTCTTGAATCACTCCACTTGGCTGTAAACTCCTTGTGGAAAAAAAATGAAAGGAAGATAGTTTAGAATTCATTTAAACAATAATTAAAATGGAGGAGAAACTTCACCAAAACGCACTAGAAATAAGCCCAAACAAACGCCTACTGCTGTTTTTCCCCTTCTCACAGAGATCCTGTAGCAATAAAAGGATTTAGCCTGCCCACATTTTTTACTTTCGTGAACCTTCACATGAAAACCATGACTGTGTAACACAGAACCATAGGCATAAATCACATTTTACAACTATCTCGTGGGGGGGTTCTGCATTTCTATGCAGTACATAAGCACTGATGAAGCTCTTTGTAATTTCTGCCAAAACAGACTGAGCACATGCAAACTGAGACAAAGCAAGAGTCAGGAGCTGGAGGGTGCATGTCTGGAAATCACAGCTCATTTCAAACCCTTCCAAGGCATTCTCCTGGGGCTTTCAGGTGTGTTTGCCCTTCGAGAAATGAAGCAGCTAATGGTTCAAACTCTGATTGAACCTCTGGATGTTTAGTTAGCAAGGGCAGAGAAAGGAGCCTTCCAGAGAGGCACCAACGTTTCACCTGCCCGATGGGAAAGCTCTGCTCACAGCACCTAATTCACTGGGGTAAAAAACATCCCTACTTGTACTTCAAAACACTTTTAAAGGTTTTGTTCTTGCCATGCTCTGAGAATTATGGACTATGTTTCCACATGGATTATGCTTCAGTGTCGCAGACATAGTTTTATGAAAAATCCTTGCCTTAGGATTTCTCCTCCTGAGAAGCTGGGAGGCCTCAGGAACAAAATGTAAACATTGATTATCTGCTGCTGTGAATGCAACAGGTGCATCTGGGATTGGTCTCATGTGGTTGTTTGTAATTCATGGCCAATCACAGTCAGCTGGCTCAGACAGAGAGTCTGGGACAGCTGCCTTTGTTATTCATTCCTTTCTATTCTTAGCCAGCCTTCTGATGAAACCTTTTCTTCTATTCTTTTAGTATAGTTTTAATGTAATATATATCATAACATAATCAATCAGCCTTCTAAAACATGGAGTCAGATCCTCGTCTCTTCCCTCAGCATAACACCCCTGTGAACACGGTCACACTTCAGAATGCTAAACTGCACGATAAGGAGGAGTTTGGTTGACAAACCACCTGTAGAATTGTAACAGGTAACAACGCAAACAACACAACAATCTTTTTGTTGTGGTACCTCTTAAAGTCAAGCTTGATGCCTTTGTTGGTGCTGCCCATCTGTGCCAGCCACTCCTGCAGGGTGATGTCGCTGTCGGTGTCCGGGGGATGAGCCAGGATGGGGTCCCTGTCCCCTCCCCGGAGGACAACATCCACCTCCACCATGTGCACGTCGCCTGGGGGTTGAGAAATTCCACCTCAGCTTCCAGTGCTTCAGGGCAACAATGACCCAGCAAGTGTGTCCACAGCAGCCCTGCACCCTCACCCCAGCGGGAGCTGCTCTCTGTGGCACAAGAGATGCCATTCTGGGGGGCTGCCACTCACTAAACTCTTTGCAAGCCTTCAACCAAGTGAAAATTGATGTCTGAGGGGGCAAGCAATGACGTGCGGGTTTTTTCTTCACGAGAACAGATAAATGGACGCCCATCATGTGGATCCACTCCTGTTAAATTTCAGATCTTTTCCTCTGTAAATAGGGTTCCTGAGAGAGGAAAGATGAGTGCAGGATTTAATACTGGCAGAGAATGAGCATTCCCCTTGACTCATTGCCAAAACCGACAAGGAAAATGTTAGCTCACACACACGACAGGCAAAGAGGAGTCTCAGGAGTGCTCAGGCTCTTGAAAACAGCTTTAGGTAATGAATCTGGGCAGTGCTACCCGCTCTGCAGAGAACCCAATACACACAGCGACGGCTGAAATACAAAGAAAAGAGCTAGCGACGGTATTCAGGATAAAGGATGTCATATATACATTTAAGCAAATATGTGCTTGTCAAATATTCACATAAATTTACACACAATTCACTGCCACCCAGGCTGATGCACCAGGGCCCTTCTGGCTCTGCGCAACCTTTCCCTGAGAGGAGAAAGGGGGGATTTGGGATTTTAGCCTAGGAAACAGGGACAGGAGCAGAGGGAACAGCCTCAGGCTCAGCCAGGGTGGGCACAGCAGGAATTTCCCCATGAAAAGGGGGCTCAGGGATTGGAACTGCCCAGGGGGCGTTTGGAGCGCCCAGGCCTGGAGGGATTTCACAGCCGCGGGGAACCTGGACAAGGGAGGGAAGGCAGCAGGAAGAGGAGGAAGAGGAGGAGGAAGGGGAGGAGGAAGGGGCCTGTGCCTCACTCACTTCGCGCGGCCTCCGCGGCCCGGGCCCGGCTGTTGGCGGCGTGGAACCAGCGCACGGCGGCCCCGTCCCTGGCCGCGATGTGCCCGGTGCGCAGGAAGTGATCCACGGGCCACTCGCTCCAGGCGCCTGCGGGGACACGGCGGGCAGCCCTCAGCCACACAGTCCCGAGACGGCCCCGGCCCAGCCCCGGCCCTGACAGCCCCGAGACAGCCCCGGCCCGGCCCTAGCCCCAACCCGGCCCTGACAGCCCCGGCCCGGGCCCGACACGGCCCTGACAGCCCCAGGCCCGGCCCCGGCGCTCACCCCGCGCCCCGCTCGCCATGGCCCGGCCCGGGCCCGCCCCGCCGGGGGTTGGGTCCCGCCGCCGCCGCTCCGGGCGGAGCCGGGCCGGGGCTCGGTGGGGACCGTGTCGCAACGATCCCGAACAGGGACGGTGTGCCGCTGTGCCTTTGCGCCCTCAGCGGCAGCACAGGCCTGAGGCAGGGACAGGCAGCGGCGGCAGCCGGGACACGAACACGAGGGGCTCCAAACGCTGCAGTCAAGTTGGGAGGATGCAGTGCTCAACTGGGCCAGGGCAGCTCAGGGTGGGCACAGCAGGGATTTCCCCATGGAAAGGGGGCTCAGGAGCTGCCTTGGCACTGCCCAGGGGGCTTTGGAGTGCCCAGCCCTGCAGGTGGCACTCGGAGCTCTGGGCTGGGGACAGGGTGGGGATCAGGCACAGCTGGGACTCCACGGCTGGGGCGATTTTCCAATTGATGAATTCTGTGGTTCTCTGTGAAATCAGGATGTCGGTGTACATCCCTGCATGCCCGGCAGGCTCAGAAAGGCTCGGGCCCCCGTGTGCCGCAGCTGCCCCTGCTCAGGGCAGTGCCAGACTCAGCCCTGCGGTCACACAGACCCGGCTGGACTCACCCGCCCCGGGTGCCCCTCGGGCTGTCCCAGGACAGGCCTGCCCCAGCCTGCGGGGCAATCGGGGCACTGCGGGCACAGGGGCAGGGCTGGGGCAGCCCCGGCTCTGTGTGTGTGTGTGAGGGATGGCAGGGATGGCACGGAGAGGGCAGGGCTGGGGCAGCCCCGGCTCTGTGTGTGTGTGTGTGAGGGATGGCAGGGATGGCACGGAGAGGGCAGGGCTGGGGCAGCCCCGGCTCTGTGTGTGTGTGTGTGAGGGATGGCAGGGATGGCACGGAGAGGGCAGGGCTGGGGCAGCCCCGGCTCTGTGTGTGTGTGTGTGCGGAGCGGCAGGGGTGGCACGGAGAGGGCAGGGCTGGGGCAGCCCCGGCTCTGTGTGTGTGTGTGTGAGGGATGGCAGGGATGGCACGGAGAGGGCAGGGCTGGGGCAGCCCCGGCTCTGTGCGTGTGTGTGTGAGGGATGGCAGGGATGGCACGGAGAGGGCAGGGCTGGGGCAGCCCCGGCTCTGTGTGTGTGTGTGTGAGGGATGGCAGGGATGGCACGGAGAGGGCAGGGCTGTGCTGGGACAGCCCGGGGGCACCCAGGCCTGCCCAGCCCCATAGGGGTCTCTCTCTGCAGGGTGTCACTGGCACGCTGAGGGATGAATCCCATTTTTGGGGCAACATCAGGAGTCCCAGGAAGCTGCAGAGACAGGACATGCACATTCCAAATCTTTGTTTGTTTCATTACGAATAAGAGGCAGAAGGTTGCAAGCATTGTAGTTAACTTTATTGATCATTACTGAAAAGGAGTTAGTAGAGGTTAAGTGCCAAGAGGCAGCTGTTCCTTCAGGTGCCCTGGCCCCGTCACAGACCCAAAACACTGCTGAGCCTCTTGCTGGGGCTCCCTCGAGGGCCTGGGTGCAGCTTGTTTTCAACAAGCACAGTTTTGTTCATACTGTGCGTGGGTTCAGCCCTTCTCCCTAACGGCAGCTTCTCAGGAGAAGTCAGCACAGAGGCTGAAAAGCAGCTCAGCTCCATCCAGGGTAAGATCTCAATGCCTGAACCCTTCTAGGACTGGAGTGTTAAAGCACAGACAACAGCAGAGCAGATTAGGTTAAATTACAAATTGTTTTTGATACAAAAACAAAATATCCCCTATTAGCATTAAGAAGGCATCCAAGTTTTAATACTCTCATTATAAAATTGTACCAGCATTTTTACTGAAAACAATATAGATCTTGTATATATTTAGTTTTGGTTCTGTTCTCGACAAGCAGTTGTGTGGCTGCTACCAAACCCCAACTGCAATTTGATGAACCTCAGTACAAACCACATGCATCACAAATACATAAATAGATCTAAATGACCCAGTATAAAAAATACATCCTATGCAAGAACCTCAGATATACTAAAAATCCCAGAACGGTTTGGGTTGGAAGGGACCTTAAAGAGTCCCAACCCCACCTGCCACAGGCAGGGACACCTTCCACTAGAATCAACCTGTTTGTGAAAATTCAGACTTAATACATCTGTTCTCCCTGAAAGCAAAGGTGGCTACTAAAATGTGGCAAAAGCAGTAGACAGGAGCAGAAAAAATACTGCAGAATTCTTGTCTGACTTATTGCTACATGTAGATTACATCAAGAGTAATCTGTTTTTTCCTAATCCTTGAAAGGTCAAATTGTGTATGGAATTCTGAACAGAGTAAAGAAAAAAGCACTTTTTATAAAAATAGCATCAATTTAAGTTAGATAAATCCTTATAAATACAAGAAAGAAACGAGTTACTCTATAAAACATTACTTGAGAGCATATGTTCCTGAAGCACCAGCATCACATCCCCAGGTTAAGGACCTCAGTGAGGTGTTTATCCACACAGTATTCATTCCCCTGTGCTGCCAGAGCTGCCCTGGCACACAGGGGGCTCCAGGCAGCTGCAGCAGCTCTGGGCTCTCAACCCCTCTCCTGTGGAAAGGAAACAGTTTTGGGCCAGCCCTGCTCCAGTGCTCAGCTCTTGCAGAGATGACATGGAGCCCCAGCAGTTTTAGCCACACACTGGTGTGAGGGTGAGAGGCAAGATCCTGTCTATGACTTGGAGTCACACTACACTTACCAGTGCTGCAGCTGTGTGACAGTAACAAAACCTGCACTCTGCTGCACCTGTATTAAGTGTCAGCTTGCAGAACTTCATGACACAAACTGACTCTTTTGTGGCAGAGGAAGCAGGGAGGATCTGAGGGGTTTTTAAAAAAAACAGTTTGAAAAGCTATTAAAACATAAAAGGATTAGAAACTTTAACATTTTTAGTGTTTGTAGCATTACAACTTTGGTGTTCAGATCTAGCAAATCAGTATATGCATGTAATCAGCCTCATCAAGACAGGTGTTCTATAATGAAAAACACTAATTCCATTTTCAGTGGCAGAGCCGCAGGATCTGACATTCCACTGTGAATCACAGGAATCAGAGCATTGTCCAAGTCGTTCAGGTAGTTCTGTGGGAGAAGGTGCCCTCCAGATCCTGCTAAGTATTCAACCTAGGAGGGAAACATACTGACATTAATTAATACTTCTTGTATTAACATTATATGCAAAACATGCTGCATCACAGTAAAAGAGTATTCCATCTACCATGAAGTGAGAAATTAATGATTAAGACAGCTTCTGCCCCAAATGTCATCCTCAGGATCTTGGGTAGGGCAAAACTCTAAACCTTCATGGAGAGATCCAAGGTATTTCCAAGGGAAGGTACTTCAGTGGAAATGGAGCGTGTGCAATAAAAGTTGAAAGCTTACCATGTCTGGGTCGAGGGAAACTCTGAGTCCTATCTTATTCATCCCGTCATTTTTCAAGGTTTTAAGGTGAGGGGAAAGAGCAGTGCTGCAGGCAATGGCAATCTCTCTTGCAAACTGGTGGGGAACAGCACTGGAGGGTTCACGATCCTTTGCAAAATGGTAAACCTGAGATCAGAGAAAGGGAGGGGCAGTCAGCAGCCTGGTACATCCCAAAGTTAGGAAAAAGAGTATTTCAGGATCACATAACACCAAACAGGGCAAGCGTTGGTGCTTGTCTGCTGCGAAAGCACCCGAGTATTTCATCCACACAACCAAAATACTTCAGGAACCATGGGAATGCCTGCATTAGGCATTTGCAGAGCCGTCACTGGCAACAGACTTGAGTCTTTTCCAGAGGACAAAAAATTACAAATGTGTAAACTCACCAAGAGCTGCAGAGAACATTCTGCATGGCAACACAGCTACACATAAAATCAGCTCATTTTAACAGCTTCACTTAGTACCATCACATTACCACTTAAATATTCCATAAGTAATAAAAAAGGCTCAACAACTATGTAATTCACTAACTTCAGTGCACTTCATAACTTTTCCCTCTCTTTCGAAGTCTCTGTATTGTGGTGCTTTCTCACTCTGAGTTCCTTCCATTGATTCTCCATCAACTGGGCTCAAAATTCTATGGAAAACAATAGTGTGATTAGCAATTTAAACAACACTTATAGTTTAGATACAGTAACTTCTATGCAATGGTATTCACCCATTCTTTAAGGCTATTTAAACACCTTAACAACAAAGTACAATACAGGACTTGCACTATGAAAATACAGATGGTACAAAAGGAAATGTCCTAAACAGGGAACTAACAGCATTAATAGAAACCTCATCTTGCAGGTTTAAAACACTATAAACCATCCTTGGTATCAAGCACTTTCTGCCACAAGAATACTTCAGATTAATTTTAAGAAACTAAAGGGAGGTATTTGAACATTGGGAGGAAGAACTCTCTCATATGTCTGGCTTTGGCAGTACATTTACCCTTTGTTTGTTTTCTCTTCATTTTCTACCCAGCAAATATCTACGTATTCCTTCACGTCCCCTGTATCCACTTGTCCACAGGTTATCCTGAAGTCCTTCTTGTCTCTTAATGCCTGACGTAGGCCTTCCATGGTTTCTCGTGTTATTTGTACCATTAGCCCATCTAGAAGAAAACCAGTTACAATTCCACATTATCCACAGGAAAAGCAGCTCAGCTTCTTATAGAATCTTGGCTTAAGTTCTACTGAGACCAACCATCTCCTATAGCTAATTAATAAATGCACAAAAGTACTGCATGCCCCACCTACAGCACTAAATGTTACACGAAAGAGGAAGAAAACCTATTTTGTCAACAGAACTCAAACTAAAAGATCATTTTTAAGTTAATTTTTGATTTTTTTTGCATATATATGCCAATATGTATATTTAGCAATATGGCAATGAAAATAGTTCCATAAAGGAAAGACCTGCACTGATTAAACAGAGTTTAAATTTGAATGTTTTAAAACAAGTAGGTGAACTGTCATGTAATTTTAGGCACCACTTCTTTGCAATAAGTTTCATACAAGATTTAGAAACCTCAAAAGAAATGTTTAGCTTACTGAGACATAAAGAC